TCCTTTCATGAAATAATAAATAATCACCACGCAAAAAATCCATAAGACATATCGAGAAAAGACCATCCAGAATGAGTTAATTCAATTTTTGTGAAACATGGTTGTTGCTAGAAATTTGAAAATGTTACTTTATTTGCTTAACTGTATTCCAAGAGTAAGGCACACAGAAAGGACGACAATAATCATGCGATTTTTCATAGCTATTGGGAGTCAGTGTCTGAACATGGCGGTTTCAGTATCAATGAATATTTTTTCAAATTATTGCTGCTGAAAGACACGAGAGTAGTGTAGACATGAGTGAAGTTGTTCTTGAGAAAATGGTTCTAGTCCTTGATGACGTATAAGATAAAGTATGATTTTTTTGTTTTTGTTTTTTTTTAAGTTAAGCACAAAGCTACACAATGGGCTATCTGTGCTCTGCCCACCACGGGTATCGAAACCCGGATTCTAGCGTTGTAAGTCCGCAGACATACCGCTGTGCTACTGGGGGGCATAAAGTATGATACTGGTGCTAATCTGAAAGGCAAGAACGATGTTCTTTTAAAAGAAATTAGTGATTTAAGTCCAAAAGATTTTTGCACTATGGAATGCACACTCTCTAAATCTCGTTTTTAATGATGCAGTCAACAATTGCGCTAACGTAGTGACGTTCTTCGATTTGACTCAAAATATATATACGTCCACTTTTCTGCGTAACTCATCGTTGGGAAGTATTACCAGTGGTGGATCCAGGATTTTGAAAACGGAGAGGCGCGATGATTCTGAACGTAAATGAGGAATTTTCGGGACTTCCCTGGTAGGAGTTAAATGAGTTATTTAGATTTGTTATGATGTTTGCAAGATGTTATTGTTATTGCTTTTTTATTTATTCTTAATTTAATATGAAATTTCATTACATTCTTCCCTCCTCAAAGATCAAATTTTTACAATTATTTTGATTTTATTTTCAAAACGGGGGGGGGGGGCTGTATCTGCCCTTGATTACTAAAATATATTTTCCCAATTAAGAAACCTTGCATAAGAAATGATAATTACTGGAATATTTTCTCGGGAACAGCAAATTTGTTTACAAGTAAAGGAGACACGGTTTTCATACAAAAGTTTTGATGAATCAATCCTTGATCCACAGTACTAGTGCTAGCTAGTGTTTTTTGGCTGTGACTACCTTTGGTAAGGTATTTAAGCATAGCCTATATAATTGAAAGTTTCTAAGCAGTTTATAATCATTACAATGGTTAGTGAACTTGATATTTCAATATTAAGAAGCGATAATATCTCATTAGATCATGTTGATTAGAGCTTGATCAATTATCCATTGTTAAGGCCAAGCTCATTTAATATTAAGAAAACACTGGGTAGCAGCATACCACAAAAGCCACTGGACTGCCATTAGACATCAAATTGGTTCTACCTCTGAAATAGCAAGAATTAGATGACCAACCTTTTCTGGGTCACAAAGTAGTATTTCCGATACTTTGGGTGGTTCATCACCGAGAGCTGTACATACTAGAAATAATACTAAAGGTTAACCACACTTTATAAAATTGATATTCTAGGTTTTGTGTCTCTTGTAACTACTTCTTTCATTGTTGGATGTGTTTAGTCTGATGTTCATAGTTATGCACTATTGCTGTTACTATAGTTTTTATTGTCACAGGTTCCTGTCAAGGAAGGCAAAGTTAATCTTAAATAATACATATCAATAAATTTTCCACAAGCTATCTCTTCATTGTACGTGAATACAATGATATAGGGAAAGGAGGAGTGGGGACTGGCCAAGAGTCTCTCAAAATTGGTACTTGAAATTCTGAATATTGGAATTTATAAAAAATATTTTGGAACACGGAAAACATTTTAATGAAAGGGATGCTTTGGACCACTCAAAATTGTATTTGACATTTTAAACATAGGAATTGAGGAGAAAAATACAATGAAACACAGAATAAGCTTTAATATGGTGAGACAGGCTTTGGGCCGCTTAAACGTGACATTTGAAATTTTGGATATTGGAATAAAAAAAATAAAAAATACTGGAATATGAAAAACGTTTTAAGAGAGGTAAAAAAATTATCCCAGGTCCCTTATAGACATAGTTACACTACTGCATGAAAGTCAGTTTTCACTACCATGTTTAAGCAAACAAAGGCTCGAAAAATTATTAGAACTGCATCAAAGGACTTGAAAGGTATGTAGTTAAATGTAATTGTTGTGATTTCAGTTTCTGTGATTATCTGTCATCATTCTCGTGAGAACAACCAGTAATATCAAGGTATGGCTGGAATCTTGTGAACATTTCCGATTATCTTTAACGGTATTTTCAAGTTTTATAGTTAGACGATTCATTCCCACTTCGAAGGATTGTCATAACGATAGGTTATTCATGTTATACTAGGAATAATGAGGTTATCCACAATTTACATGTAACGATACTAATGGTATTGTGTTAAATTTTATTGTGCTGGAGCTCTGCCAAATTTTATCAGACGTGTGACGTAACCATCAGGGTAGAGATTTTATATTCAAAAGTTAATTTACCTTTTTATGAGTCCATTTTTAAATAAATAATATGTATATATATATATACAGCAGTACTTATTTGAGACTACTTACATTAGTACCAATTAGCGAGAGAAAATACACAACTAAATTTCCTTTACATTAAGCAGCAAGGAGAAAAAACAACAACTTGATAACTAAATTAAAATCACTAGTATTAAAACAAGTTTCAAAATCCCATATGTTATTAATTTATTGTCTTCTTAACTGAACTATCGTATTATTTAAGCCCTGACTCTTATAAAGTTTTGCATACCTCCTGTTCTGCCAACAGGAATAACGACCTTCATAGTATATTATGCAAATAATAAGTATTTTAAAAATGTGTGCGTTTTCAACACACAAAACAATTGTAAAATGTACTTTTATTAAGTGCTTTCATGCCATATTCGTGTGTTTTAATAAGCACATGACAAACGACAAAAAACATTTCACCATTTTAACGCTCTGACACATGCTTTTAAGGCGGAATGGTCTCTTTGTGCCTGACACCAGCTCCTGACGGAGAGTGACAAAGTGTATGCTGGGTGGTCTCAGTTTGCTTGTTTTGAAGTTAAGCACAAAGCTACACAATGGGCTACCCACACCGGGTATCGAAACCCGGTTTCTAGCGTTGTAAGTCTGCAGACAGGGGTGGTCTGAGAGCTCTATTGGTGGACACAGGGGATCACACACAGATAGATTGTTCTCTGGCACTCCAAGTGTTTGGTTATGAAAAACACTTAATTTCAGGTGAAAACTGAATAACTTTTCTTGCATACATATTCATATTTTTTTAATTGTCCGGATTCAGTTCCAATTACAGGTGCCGGAGCGGTGTGGTACTTCACTCTTGAATGATACTCAGATTGGTTAAGAATTATATGCGCAGAAATCACCATTAATGTGTTAATAATACGTCAATATGCACTGTATCTAGTCGTTCGGTGTAGTTATTTAACAATTATTCTTATACAAATTCTAAGAAGTTCGTTAAATTAGTGCAAATTGTATCATTGATAATCAAAAGACGTTTACTATATGTGTTTTCATTTTACATAAATAATCTACAATATTTTACATTCTGTTAGTATTTATTTATTTCTAGTTTTCTTTATTGTTATTTTCACCCTAGTGGTGGAAAACATTTTACCATTACAAACACAAGATCAAGGTATTGGTAGGTGAGTAGTACTAATAAGCATAATTGAGTGTTAAAAATATATATATATTTTTTTTATTATTGGTTTGAATATAAAAGACCCTGCAAACTTATATGTAGTGACAGTTCTTCATTAAATGTTAAAGCCTATCGTCCATTACTGATTATTAAACGTTTATTATGAGAACTATTAAGAATAATATTACTCTTCCATTGGAATGGAAGACGTCTTACTCTTAGTCAAGTTAGGGTTAGGTAAATAGCTTTTCGTGTGATTGTAACTTTACGTTATTTTACCTTTTGTTACCTTTTTTCGGTTGTTTAAGCTGATTAAATACATGTAGAATTTAGCCATTATTATACTACGTATCATCATAGAATACTTGGATTGCTTGCTCTAACCTGAATTAATGCATTGACATCCCATTAGACACTGTCATTTGGCTTATTATTATTAATCTTAAGCATGAAGGATACCAGGTAAAATTTGCCAAATTTTAATATCATGAACTAAATACAAATATGTTTGTTAATGTCCTATTATGAATTCATAATTCGTTATTTTTATCAATATTTCAAAACTTGAATGTGGGGGTTTATCTTTTAATAATTTAGTTTATTACACTTTACAAGACTAATGTTGTGTGCAGTTAGTAATTAGATGCTAATAAAAATTAATAGCAAAACATGACACTGACAGATTTAACACTTGTACCAAGTGAAATTATCTTTTACATTTACATTGGTCATTTACACTGAAACTAGACATGAGAACCAAAGTGCACAAATATTGAGATCAAGAACAAGCATTTTCTGCCTTGTTATTATTGCAATGTAATCTCTTTCTTCTCTTCACTCATTTTTTGTATCACCATGTTTCTGTGAGCCATTTGCCCATTTTCTAGATATATATCTGAAGCTATGCAAGTTTCTAGAATGTGCAAGACACTTCAGAAAACAATCTTAATAACAAGTTATAGAATATGAAAATAGTAGGGATGCACGGGTAGTAAAATTTGGTCAAATATCAGGTTTGGGTACCTGGTCACTAAACTTCGGCTGGGGCTGGGTTCTCCCCTCGCCCAAAAAAAACAACATACACAGAAATTACATTTAACCAAATAATCACCAACAGAACATTCCAGTTTTATTTTCAACTTTTGATGCCTAACCCTAACCTCTATTGTTCTCAAAATCCCCACCTTCTCAAGCCATGCCTGTTATTAATCCCTATTGTTCTCTGAATCCCCGACTTTCAGCGGGTGGTCAGACTTTGTTGTTCAGAACACATTTTTTTTTTTTAACTAAACTGATATTATCTATGACTTTAAGTACCGCATAAGTTGCCACAAAGATTAAGGCTTAAATGCCATTTTCAATTACCCGGATTTGGCTGTTTTTAACTTTGACACTCAGCCGGAGCTGAGTATTAGCGGGAATTCCAATACCTGGCCGGGTATTCATGCATCCATAGAAAATGGTATGATATATTTTAAATTATACTAAAAATATATGTAATAACTGTTTCCAACTTATTTTCAAGACTTATTTTAAATGGAAATTTAATAATTTTTTTTGGGTGGAGAGAAAATGGGCCATTGCTCATATGAATAGATTCTCTTGTTCCTAATGTAACATAATATAAAACTTCAATTATTCTTAAACATATCTCACTTTATGAAAGTTTTGTTATATTTTTTGAAACCTTTTTCTAAAATTGTTATTTAACCCTTCAATTGTTGCTTGTGTAAATCTGCCTAACTCCGCAAGTTCAAAGATTTGAGAATTTTTGAGGCGGACCATTCAAAATGTTGCACACAAAATGCTTGCATAATATGATGTCAACTGCAGTTGAAGGGTTAAAATGCTTAGTCTTAGTTTGTTCTTTACGTATTTCTAACTTAAAGGTAGTGTTAATTCAATGAAAAGACCACCATCATACATGTATGTACCTGTTTTAAACTGTATTTTAGATGAAATACTGATAAAAACTGTCTTCCTAAGAAGATATGTTCAGTTAAAATAGTTTACAAGTTTTGTTAGATTAACAAGAAAAAAATGTTTTTTTTTCTCCATATAAATAAGTGTGCAATGCATACTTAGAGTAAGGTTGTGGTGATCAGATGTGAATCATTTTCATGGTCAGTTGCTGGGAGTCTAGGTAACACACTTGCCATTCTTTTAAGAAAACTCTGGATTTAATCCCACAAATATAACCCTTTTCAAGACTTACTTGAAACTACAGTAATTAAGCAGTCAAAATGTAGGACTTAATGTTTTGGAACAACATGGGACCTATTGGTCCATCTTGGCTGTCACATCCTCTTAGCTAAACTAAAACTATTAATTAAAAAATCTTAAAGCTAGCCCTTATCATTCATGTACTTATCAAGCTTTCTCTTAAACTTGCTTAAATTTACTGCGTCCACAACATCTGAAGGCAACCCATTCCAAAGGCCAACCATCCATTTAGAAAAATAAAACTGTCTTAGCTGAAGATGACTTTTACCTTGCCAAAATTTATATTTATGTCCTCTAATCCTACTATTCTCTGTTAAGTATGAAAACAGATGATGCATCAACACTATCAATTCCATTTACAATCTTAAACACTTCAATCAGATCCACTCTAACTCTCTTTTTTTCAAAAGAAAACAATTTTAGAGATTTTATCTAGTTAGTAATTGTTATTAAGTAATAAAAAACAAAAACTAATTATTAAATGAATTTAGGTAATAATATAGGCTACTAACTGTGAAAGTAATGTGAAATGATTATCTTTTTCTAATCTTAAGTTTTTGTGCCTTGCCTTTCATAACTATTACCAACTTAAACCAAACTAAAAGTAAAGAAATGCTAGTTGTGATTTTATGCTACTGTCGTCTACTTGTAGGATTATGACTATTACTGTATTTATACTTGTATATGACAATAGACTGTGGAATTAGAATTCACATACTGTATCTGAAATTTTAGTATTTAACTGCAAGCACCTATATTAAATCAGGACTGTTAAGTCAGAACATAAGAAAATTAAAATCATGATGTCAGAATGCTTTTCTACTTTGCAAGGTGTCCCTTAATATATAAGAATAAATATTTTGTACATGTACTTCTATTTCATTTTTAAAACAGGCTATAATATATATTTTCATATTCATATAAATAAAAATTTGCAATCAATAAAATCTGTTACTGCAAACCATTCCTTAAGTACATAAAGCCAAATATGTTTTGTATAAGATATGTTTCTGTATAGGCTATGAAAGTTAGTTTAATTTGTATTTTTAGAGTTTAGAATAGTGGATGAGACAGTCTAGATGGACCAAGAGATTCTTTGTTGTCCTTAAATTATATATACGTAATTCTTCTGTACTGTAGAGAAAATATATTCAGTCTATTTGCTTTTTATCATTGCACTCTTTCTGATGTTAATATTCTTTATGTATTAAAAGGACCAAATCTGTGCAAAATATTCCAGATAAAGCCTCACAAGAGTTTTGTACAAGACATACAATAACTGTTTTTAACACATTGTGAACAGGTCATGAGTTTACTTGTGTTTCACGCATAGCATCTTTGTGTGCCATTTATTAAAACATTCCATTTGAAAGGAGTCTGATACATTATATTTTGTTATTATTTTTCTGATTTTTCCTTAAAATACCCATATTTTTATAAATGGCTTCTCACAGAAGACATAACATGTTGAGTGAAGATGATGTAATTACTGAACTATTTGATGATAATTTGCCAGATCATCCAAATGAAGGTGAAGATTCTAATGTGGATGTATATGTGGATCATTCTTACAGTGATGTTGTTAGATTTACAAAGATATGTAAAGTTGTGCTCTCAACTGATTCTGAATTGGAAAGTGATGATGATTCTATAAATATTCCTGTTAGTGATTTGTTTTCCCATTGTGATAATGATAATTGATCAGAAATAGATATTCCAACGAACTTGGAACTGTTTGTAGGAAATCCAGATGTCACTATAATTCCATCTGAAGCCGAAAAGTATTGCTACTGTTACAAATCTAATGTTTGGTGATGACTTGTTTGAAATGTTTTGTCAGGAAATGTGTACCTATCATAATCAAACTGCAGAGAAACATAAAATGTCATCTCAAGGACCTCGATGGTCTGAAGTTACACCTACAGACATGAGGAAATTCCTAGGCCTTATTCTACTAATGGGACAGACAAGGAAATATCACTGGTAAAATTATTGGTCAACAGATCTTCTTTTGATTAGCCTAATATTTATGCAGACAATAAGCCGAAACAGATTGGACAAATTTGGACATTTTGGCATTTCAATGATAATCAGAAAATGGATGAGTCTTCAGGCAGGCTCTTCAAAATTCAGTTAGTACTGGATTATTTCCTAAATAAATTCAGGACATTATAAAAACCAAAGCAACAGTTGTCATTGGGTGAGGGCATGATTCCATGAAGTGGACGTCTAAGATTCCAAACATACAACCCTGCAAAAATTGTAAAACATGGTCTGGTGGTGAGAATAGTGTGTGAGAGTGCCACAGGTTATATTTGCAACATGGAACTTTATACTGGTGAGGGGAAAACATGGAGGAGACTGTTCTTTTAGTTCTTGCTCCCAATCTTGGATTGTGGCACCACGTATACCAGGACAATTATTACAACAGTAATTCCATTGCAAACCTGTTCCTAGAACATAGAACAAAAGTCTGTGTAACAATCAGAGTGAATAGAGGGTTGCTGCCAAGCCTGATGGCTGAAGTTTCAACAATGAAAAAAGGAGAAACAGCTTTTCGTTTTCATATGGTTTCAACCATCCATGACTCATCTGTTTTTATCATAGGAAAGAAAGTTAGAATAACTGGAGAAGAAATAAAAAACCTGTGTGTGTTCTCCGATACAATGCCCACATGAAAGATGTTGATCGTGCTAATAACTACCTCTCATACTACACCATTCTCGGAAAAACAGTGAAATGGACAAAAAAGGTAGTACTTTATCTAACAGACTGCAGCATTTTCAATTCATATCTAATCTATAAAGTCCTGATTCAACAGAAAAGAAAAAATATAAACAGTTCCTCCTCTCTGTAGCAAGAGAATGGATTACTGACAAAGAGAAAGAAGGCTCACTGGAACTAGAGAGGAATGAACCCAATCAATCATCTGAAAGTACAAGGAGAACCCCACATAAGGATCCCCTAGGAAGACTGGTAACATGAAGTAGCATATTCCTGTGTTCATTTCATCTACAGGAAATAGAGCCTGTAGAGTTTGTGCTGCCCATGGGAAAAGAAGTGAAACGCGATACATATGGAAGTTTTGTGCGATTCCACTCCATATAGGAAAATGTTTTATAAGATACCACACTTTAAAAATTTACTAGGTGTCTTCATGTACATACTCTGTAAGTGTCAAACAAATAATAAAAAATATAGTTGAGTTATGAACAAAATAAAATGTGTCCAACTCTTTTCAAACTCAGTGTTTTAATAAATGGCACACAAAGACCCTCTGCACGAAACACGAGTAAACTCGTAACCTATCAGCAATATGTTAACATCTGCCACACGAAGCAGCCTGGCATCTTGATGTAGATTTAAAAAAATGAGTCATTCTTTAAAGGTTTGAGATATATTGATTAGACAAAAAGAAGATGTTTGGCACTATTTTGGGGGTTTAGGTCACAGGACTGAACCTGTGACCTGATCGGTCAGGTCACAGGTTCAGTCCTGTGACCTAAACCCCCAAAATAGTGCCAAACATCTTCTTTTTATCTAATCAATATATCTCAAACCTTTAAAGAACGACTCATTTTTTTAAAATTTACATCAAGATGCCAGGCTGGCTTGTGTGGCAGATGTTAACACACTGCGGATATGAGACAATGAGAACCAACATGGAGAAATTAACTTGTAAATGTAAAGTAACTCAATGTAGCAATGAAACATGTTTGAAATGTTCCAGATGTTTTTGTGATGGTTTTAAGTGTAGTGAGGAAACTAAACTGTGGGACCAGGTCAGATGAGTGAAGAACTTATTAGAAGATATCCAAGTTGATTTGACATACCAACTGAATCGGAGATTTGTCAATTGATTACTATGTTGACAACAAAACATAAAAAAATGGGCACAATAGTATCATTAACTTCAAAAAGTGGGATTGAAATTATTAGTTTCAATATTTTGTGAAACTAATAGCACGGTATAGCCCAAAGATGCAGCATTGAAGTTGAACAATGCATTACAAAATGATTTGCTAGTGATTCTGAAGTTGAACAATGCATTACAAAATGATTTGCTAGTGATTCTGAAGTTGAACAATGCATTACAAAATTATTTGCTAGTGATTCTGAAGTTGAACAATGCATTACAAAATGATTTGCTAGTGATTCTGAAGTTAAAAATGCCATTTCTGCAATGAAGAATGAATATGAGAAGGATGATATAATGCCCAGGTACCACCATAGTATAATCCTTATAGATTTCATCATTTCACTAATATTTAGTTTCTTTTTTTTCATTTTAGAAGTTGTGCCAAGCTTCATTCATCAAGACATCAAGGCCTATTGAAATAACTAAATCACATGTTTCCACTTCAGTTTTACATGCTACTTCCTTTCAGAGAACTAAGTTTATGCATGATTACTTCCCACAGTTGGAAACTTACTAGTATCAGTTTTATTTACAGAAAAAATTTGAGAGAGTGAAAATGCCAACACCTCTCCATAAAAAACACTGTACAGTACTAAATCTTAATCTTAAAAACATTTTGCACCGTAGAATCAATTTTTGTTTATTCTAGTTTGTTAAACATTTGTATTACATTACACTGAGTTCCTTGAAATTTGCTATATTCATACAAAATTCAAGCATTTCCTGGTAGTAACAGACTCCACCATAGAATGTTTGCTACATATAATAAAAATAAGCTGTCAGATCTCTAATATAATTGAAACTAACCTAACAATGACTTTTTGTGACACACACACAATAAAAATATAAGATCACCAAAGAATTTTATTCAGCAACACAATACTATTTATTTTCACACACTAAAAAAATAATGTATATATCAATGTCTTGGCAAACACAAACGATCTTGAAGAGAATGCCTTAGCAAAGTTTCTATCAACAATTCTTTTGTGCACAACTTCTTTTTTGACCTATTCATATCTTTGTGCACATGGGGGAACTGTTATAACTTTTCTAAACCAGTCAATGTCATAAAACATGTTGCTTATGCCATAAAACTCAAAAGTTTCCTGATTTGATTTTCTTTGTACATTTTGAAAGTATGTGTAATGTTCCATGGCATGTATTATTTGTTACGTAAATTTTTATATGAACAAAGTGGAAATTATCATAAACTCAGATAACTTGTATTGAACACTGACAGGGGTTTAAATTTTATGTTCTTAGTTTTAACATTTTTTACTAACATGTTTTTCCCTTTAAAAACCAGTTTAAGTTAAGATTTATTTAGAAATTATAAAATTTATGTTCAGAAAAATATCTAGTTAAATACTTCCGACAAGTCATTAACACTGTAATAAATACTTTTCTAAATTTTTAATATTCACTTTCATACAGTTTATGAGATATATCACATTATTTTTTCCCTGCAGCACGTCTAGATAAAGAGAATGACTACTGCTGCCAGACCAACGTTTGAACCAGCCCGAGGACGAGAAAAGGACTTGGGAACCCTCTCTAAACAGTATTCTAGTCGGGACTTACCGGGACACACAAAACTAAAATACAGGTAAATACACTATATTTGCTTTAGTGTATTGCTCTAGAATTGGGGGGTAGTTGCTCTCTGTGATTTCATCCATAGTGAGATGGAGACATACATTCAGTCCAGTGGTGTATCTCTGGAGGTCTTTGAGGCTGCACTTACGGGAGATCCTGGACATTCTGGAGATAATTTAGTTTTGCCTTTTCCAGCAACATCTTTTACTCTGTTGGTTTTTCATGAGGCCAATTTGGATCAGCTGCCTCCAGCTCCTTTTCTTCAGTTGGTAAGTCGAGTGTGTGATGTTTTAGGGTCTTTCTCCAGTTGGTTTTGAGCCTGCACTTTCTTTAATGGCGGAAAGGTCTGAGGGCGAGTACTTAGTTCTCCCTCCTTTCCCTAATATTGTGGTACATGCAGGGAGGTTTACTGTTCAGTTACATGAAGAAACAGCTATGCTTTCTCCACCATATTTGTCAGAACATGTTTTAGCCTACTACTGCCAGGTAGAAGCATATTTAGACTCTCGGAAAATAGACCTGCTCCTGGAAATGTTGGGTTCCAGAATGGAGTTTAAGGTCAACCTGAATAGATAACAAGTTTTTAGGATTTGTTTAACGCTAACTTCGGTGCTGAGAAATTTATCATCCCTACATCTTTTCTCAGAAGCCTCTCAGCATTTGCCACATCAATTTGGTGATGAGTTAGGACCATTGTTAGCATCCACCTTGGTGCAGTTGTCAGCTTCTGCACTTTCACTAGTCTCTTGGCTGTTTTGATGTTGGAGGGCATTCATCTACCTGCTGCTGCCCTCCATGAGTTACATGAGGCACCCTTTTTCCAACCATTGATTTTTTCAGGGGTTCCAGAGTTTTTTTAATCAAAGGTTGATGTCACCCATCTGCATTCATCCCTGTCATCATTGGCTTCTCGACTTTCCTTGGCTCTTACGGGGGCTCATAGTTCTGCCCCTATTTGAGTGTCCCAACCCCTGACATCAGTCCATTGGTACCCAAAGTAGATTCTGCCCATATCCAAAAAGTTCCTCTGCACAGTTGAAACTCTGCCAGAGCGACAGTGAATACCGTATGCCTATGTGGTCTATGGAGGCTTGGCTCTGAGAATTTCTGGATGTGTGGAAAAGCTTTACCACAGATCTATGGGTACTACAGGTCCTTGTGTCAGGATTAGTCATTCAGTTCACATCTCCACCATCATTGTTCCTCAAATTTTGTAACTTCATTCCATGACTACCAAAGATTTGTTGATCCAGGAGCCAGTGGAGAAAGTTCTCTAGGGTTTTATTCCCATCTGTTTGTTGTCCCAAGAAGACAGTAGATTGGCCTAGGGTCATCTATCTTTATGATCTAAATCAATTCATAGATCCTCCAAAATTCACGATGGAGTCATTCCTCATTCTGTGTTGTCATTTTTCACCAGGAATGTGTATGACCAAGTCTGATGCAGCCAATACCTATCTGCACATTCCCATAGCGGAATCATCCCACCACTATCTGTGTTTTGGGCACAAGGGTCAGGTGCCGTAATTCAAGGCTCTGCCTTTAGAACTAACAATAGCACCATACATGTTCTTCCAAATCATACAAACTTTTTCTTGGCACCTCCATTCCCTGTGCACACACCATTACACAAATGACTGGCTACTGCTGGCACCATCTCATCAGTTGGTGGAACGTCACACCCAGATTCTGCTTTCTGAAGCAACCAAGATAGGATTTGTTATCAAAACCAAGAATTCTATTCTCACTTCAACACAATATATCATTCATCTGGGTGTCTTTTTTTAAACATGTATCTCTGTCGGGCTAAGCCAACTACCATCCAGCTCCAAGCTATGGAACAGGCAATCTGACTCTTATGTCTCCTTTTCCCACTGTGCCAATGGTTCCTTTTTTTTTGGAGATGTGGGCATCACTTGATTCTCTCATTCCTTTGGGACGAGTGCACATGCGATTCCTTCAGTGGTCTCTATGTGACCAATGGATCATTAACAGTGATCCACTGTATTCCCGAGTCTTCTTATTCAGGATCAACATCTTCAATCACGATAGGTGTTCCTCTGCTGCCACATTGTCCAGAGATCCATCTTTACACAAATGCTCTGCTTCAGGGATGGGGTGCATATCACAGTGGTCAGGAATTCCAGGGCTTTTGGACAGATGATGAAGCTTCCTTCCACATCAATGTTCAAAGGGTGATGTCTCAAAATCTGGAATTATTGAGGCGCAAAATTGTCATGCTTCACACCAACAAATCCAAGGTGGTGTCTTACATTTCCCATCAAGGGGGCACTCAGTCCAGGTCTCTTTGTTCTCAAATCTTTTATATTGGACCAACTCCCATCATATCATCTTACTAGCTTGCCATGTTCTGGGGGTGATGAATTTGGTGGCAGATCAATTGTCTCGAACCAACCGGATTCTTCTGACAGAATGGGTACTTCATTGAGGGGTTTTCTATTGGATTTGCTATCAGTTCGGGACACAGATGATCAATGCATTTGCCACTCATTAGAACTCTCAACAACTGGCATTTTGATCTCTGGTATGTCTCACCCTTGGGCATTGGCAATAGATGCATTCAGTCAGGACTAGACTGGATTGCACCTATATGCCTACCCACCAATTTGTCTGTTACCTAGAATCCTAGCAATTATTTATTCAACCCCTTGTTGCATTCTGTTGGTAGCACCGGAGTGGCTGACTCAACCCTAGTTTCCACTTTTGCAGTACCTTCAGTAGTGCCCACCTCCACCACTTCCTCTATGGCTGTCTGTGTTGAAGCAGTCACGATCCAACATTTTACACCCATCCATCCCAAAGCTCCAGCTTCATGCATGAAGGTTATGTGGTCCTTTGCACAGCATTGGGATTTAACTTCTAAAGTTGCTTTGTGCTTTTCTCAGTCTCTGCATCTTCCCATGATGTACATTTATTAATGGAAATGGCACACATATTGACAATGGTGTATTGTGAGGAGGTTGAATCCATTTCATCTAGACGTGCCAACCATAACTTGGTGTTTGACCTGGCTCTTTGTCAAAGGTTTCGCATCTTCCACAATCCCCATATAAAAGGTGGCCTTATCAGCTACCTTTTGATACTCGAAGAAACATATTCTTTGAGTCCCCAGTGCTCTCCGGCCTCTTCAAGTCATTTTGGGTTCTTCATTCCAAATCATCATTTCAGTTATCTAACTGGGGTATAAAGTGGAGTTATGTGCTTTTTTTTCAACATTCGTTTGAGCCCTTAGCCTCATGTATCACCTTTCCCTTAAGGTTTATTTTTTGTTACTGCTGGCCTGTGGATGTTGCCTGTTGAAATTGTTTGTACTGCACATGCATTGGATGCTTTTTCATTTTTACCTACGTCCTTCTATACCCAGACAGGTCCTTCTTACTTAAGATACTGGCAGCCAGAGAAGGGGATAAATCCTTTTCTCTGATTCATCTGAATGCTATTTCTCACCTCTGTGACCAATTGGATCCTGATCATTTGTTATGTCTAGTGAGGGCCATGAAGTGTTTTGTTGCTCGCACTAAAGCTTTAGAGGTGCTAGACAATGGCTTTTTATTCATTATGGCCCTTCAGTTTCCTGGGATTTATCCCCAGTTACCTTCACAGGGTGGTTATAAAAATTGATCCATATTGCTTATTCTAGGGTCTTTTGGGAGATGAGGAGACTTCTGCAAGTTACGTGTCATCAGATTCATCACATTTCTATGTACCTAGCAGCCTGGTTAAATTGCCTGCTGGAGGACATTGTGCGTGCTGGTATGTGGACCTCTCCCAATACTTTTAGTTCACATTATTTGCATGTTCTGGAAGTATCTTCCTCTGAGGGTTTTCAACTACTCCCTCGACTGATGGACTATAATGAGTAAAGCATAAGGAGATCCTGACCGTTCTTCATGTCCCCGACCCAGATTTGACACTCAGCTATCTGGTTGGGTTGAGCATGGTCCTTCTTTTGGTTCAGTACATTGTTCATAGAAGAGGATCCATTGTCTCCTCGTAATTCTGAAGTCATAGTGGTCCCATTCTGTGTCCTTGGTTGTGCACAGTTTGTTCCATATCCTCCCCATAATTTTTGGGGAAAGTGGAATTTACCTTGCCCACACAGTTAAAGAGTGAGGATGGGTGTTCATAATTCTAGACTGAATGAGTTCTGTTTCCTCAGGTTGAGTATGGCATACAGGATCCCATCATTCCGAGTTTGAGGTGTTGTCTTTTGAACTTCTTCAAGTTGAGGAGAGGATTTATCCATTCCTGTGTTGCTTACCTTCTCCTTGTGATTCTGGTGGCCTGTTATCCATCACTCTATAGCTACAGGTTGGGATCTTAGCCACCAAACATGGATGTAGGGGCCATGGCCCTGTAATTCGAATCCCAAGCAGTGGGACCACAGCTACCTGGTTGTGGTCTGGTGAATGGTGATGACAGATTACGTCAAATTCCACTTTTGGCACACCCTCAATCTATGCAGACACATTCTGTATGGATAATGCCTCACCAGCCTCTTTGCTTTTTGAATGTGGGATTCTAGCTTTAGTGTGATAAGAGGTATATTTTGGAAGTTAGCATTTTCTTAAATTGAAAATGTATTTCCAATAATACTCTCTCACACTCTCCTGTTCTTCCTCACCACTAAGAGCTGGTATTAAAGACTGCAAATTGGGTCAGTCTTGAAAAAGTGACAATATTATCTGAAGGAGATGCTTATATACAGTACTGGTATAGAGGGCACATTGATGTAAGTGGAGAGTGTCACGAGACAGATATTGCCAAGGACAATTAAGTGGGGAATAAAAGACTGGAGGTAAGTATTATTGGAAATATATTTTTGCTTTAAGAAAATGTTAACTTAGTAATTAAATTTAATTTGCGACAGAAATACTACTGTTTATCATCTAAGAAGATAATGGCCAAACATCCCTTTCTGCAGTAGCAAATTGTATTACTTGTAATATTACTAGTGAATCGTAATGCATATTCGTTAGCAGATGTTTTTGCAAAAAATATAAACTTTTAGTGACAAGTACATTTTACTGGTACTAAAATGCACCTCATACTATTGAAGAATGTTAATCACAGATGTGAATTTTTTTTGCTTTAGACAAGACTGAAAATATTACACATTTTATTTTGGAAAATAAAACTTAATTAGTAATAACTTTATATATAAGTTGAAGTACAATTGATGAAAGATTTGTTTTTATTTTAACTTTAGTTATTACTGTATTAAAATTTGCATTTATACTACAGATATTTGAATATATCTATTAGAAGTTTAAAAATAATTTGAACTATTGAATTCCAGACAAACTGGCCAGGCTAGTTCAGAGGAGTTGAGAGGTAAGGATTTCCGAAGAGATTTGGAAGAAAGAGAAAGAGCTGTTACCCATGAAAGAGAAAGTAAACGTAGTAGAGGTAGGTGTAATTGCATTAGTTTCCTAAAATAAGGTGTGTTGCTGACACGCTACCTTACAAGTTGGTGAAAATTCATTTGATTATTAAATAATTTATATACTACCAAAGTATTGCTGAGGATCAACCTTCAGGTCAATTGAAATTAGTACTAGTTGAGTTAAATACCTGCCTGTGAATGATATTAATGCAGAGATATAAATGGGTATAAATACATATGACTTTATCTTTTAAATTTTGAAAGCAGAATGGCATACCCAGATAATTTGGTACATGTTAGAGTACTTGGTAGAAACTGTCTTACCATGAGTTTAATGACTTACAGACAAATTAGATGTCAGTTAATTAACGAGGACTATAACAGGAGTATAGGTATGCTTCAGATTGAGGTGGCTGTACCTAATGTCATTCAATAATTGAATGTGTTCCAACATGTGGTTTCCCATATGTACAACCAGTACTAAACCAATAGCAAGGTCAAGGGACAACATGGTGGGGCACAGAAAATTCACAATTCCTTGGAAAGATATAAGTATACAAATTGGGTCATGTTATTGATCTTTTGCAGATACTACCCAATTGAGAAAATACCTTCAAAATGTAACAGAAGGGCCAGGGATCATGTTAGGGGAAATATAAATTATTGTATGTCAGTCCTCTTCATTGACAAACGTAGATTCTGTCTTAATTATACTGACAGGTATCCCAGAGTCTGGAAACAGTTTGGTGAACAGTTGCTGCCACAGCATGCTGGAGAACATGATATATAAATATGGATGAGGATATGTCATGGTTTGTCCTAGAATCAACATACAAGAAAGTAAAAATTCCCATGTCATCCAGAATGGTGCAGTCACCGCAGTTAGGTATCAAGATGAGATCCTTCATCTAATAGTGAGACCTTATGCTGGTGAAGTTGACCCAAACTTCATTTTGTTTGATGTTAATGCTACCTTCATTGATCAAGAATTATCAATGCTTATCTTGAACAGTAAGCAATCAGAAGGGTGGATTGGCCAGAAAATTCCCCTGTCTTGAACCTTATTGAAAATGATGCTTTGAACATGCTACAGAGGGCAATAACAACTCATCCAGTGCAAACTAGGATGCTCTTATCCAACTTATAAGTCCAGCTTCTACAGCATGTACAGCATTTTTAAATATACACAAACATCTTTTTCTGGAGGCTAAAACCTTATGTTACAAGTATTCATACCTTGCATCTTTATCAGGTTTTCACAGCCAACTTATAAATGTCAGGTTATTTGGGCTCTTTTTCTTTTTTCCTCCAAAAGAGCAACAAGAGCGATTACAAAATTTGTAGAGTAATGTATTATGCCAAATTAGGAGTTTTTTGAGAATTTGATGAAATTTCACAAAAAGACTGAGTAACTATCATTCTGACAGGAGGTCTCAGATTGTAATTCTTGCTCATGAAAGTTATTCCCACAAAGTTATTGCTGAGAAACTAATATTTCAATGCGAGCTGTACAGCAAACACTTAGCCACTACCAAGAAACTGGCAGATAAAAGTAAAGAAAAAAGGAGCGGGAGACCAAAATGTATCAAAGAACACCAGGAGACAATACTGATCAGGATTTCCAAAGTAGATATATTTGTTACTCATCCTGAACTTTCAAAGAAGTGGACTGAAGACACTGATGTTAATGTGTCAAACAACACAACAAGGAAAAGTTAAATGCAGGGGGTTTAGTGGGGAAATTTACAGCCAGGAAGTTTCTCATAAGTGTAGAAATGTCAAGAAACTCCAATTTGGTAAAGACCACCAGAATTAGGATGCTGATCATCGATAAGACAAAAGTTGAACTCTTCATCAATTCTTGCTGGGTGTTCCTTAGGGGATAAAAGCTTGAGAAATATGAACCAGAATGTGAAATCAGCTTGTTGAAATATGTAGAAGGCTCTGTAATTGTCTGTGGTTGTTTCTCTGCTACAAGTGTCAGAGATGCTGTTAAAATAAACTAAATCATGAAGGAAGACTACCATTCTGTTCTTTTATACCATGCCATCCCAAGCAGTAAACAACTAATTAGTTGAAGGTTTATTTGTGAGCAGGATATTGACCCAAAGTACTCCCTACTCATTAAGAAGAAATGTCTGGAGCTGGCACGAAACATTCAGCTAGTGGTGTGGCCACCCGAGAGCCTGGACATGATTTCAATGGAAAATCTCTGGCATTAATCGAAGGCTAAAAGTCAGGAGTGCCATTTTATATTTCAGTAAAAGAGGATAACATTTACTAGAAGTCCAGGGGACACTTAGACGTCTGGATATTCTTGTTGTTTTTTTTATGTTAAACTGTAAAAATCAGTGAAATAGAGCATTTGCTATGGGCATTTCCCATATTATTTAATAATCATTGAAGTAGCATAAACTACACCTTACACATACATATATATTCACAAAATAAATACCATGCCTGGTTAGGTTGCTGAAGACACGACCAGCATCACTGACATGACTGTGGGAGATGGTCCAGGAAGAATAGAAGAAGATTGCTATGGACTATGTCCAAAATAATTTCAAAACTTAAGAAAGTTCATGGTTTTTACCATGATTACTAAATAGAAATCTATGTCTTTTGAGAAAAAATACAAACTTGGCATGAAACATGTTCTGGTGCAAGTCATTCTCACAACACAAAAATATAACACTATATTCATATTTTAGGTGGATATGTATATTTAAATTCAAATTACTTTTGCATAGCTTCAGTTGATTATTTTAAATAGTTATTAATGTATTATATTCAAACTTTTATTACCCCTTTCTACTTTGTTCTCTCAAGTAAACAATAATTTATTATGTGAATATTTGAACTCTCTTTTAATAGTGTAATATTAACTTTTTATTTAGAGGTGGGATCAAGTGGAACAAAAAAACCAAGACTTGACCAAATCCCTGCTTCCAATTTAGATGCTGATGATCCAATTGATGAGGTAAGATTCCACTAAAATGTTAAAGTGTTTGTGAAAAATATTAAAGTCCTTAAGATGATACTGTAGCCAGAGTATTAATTTTTTTGCATATATATATATGTCATATTTGCAGCATTTTTTGCTACTGTTTTAAACCATTAGAAATTCTTAATGTATTTATTTACAAAGGAAAAAGCACACATGAAACTACAAACATAAAGTTTGATACAATTATATAGTTACAGAAGTATCTAAACTATAGTTGTCTAGGTAAGGTATAAAATAGCTAAAAAGTAAAAGGAGAAAAAAAAAATTGGAATTGTTCCATTGTGCTATCTTATTTCAAAAAAGTTTGCTCAAAATTTAATTTATTTGGCATGAGGAATTATCAGATAATTAAAAACTATATATTATTTGCACAAAAGTTGATGTATGTTTAGTTTTACATCTTATTTCTGTTGCCCCCCACACAATTTTTGGATTCCCACAATAGCTATTTTTGAAAGGTTCCAAAATTATGAACTATATTAATACCATATTTGAATAGTGACACACACTGTGTATTATCCAGGATGATGAAGATGATAGTGGTGATAGTGATGAGGATGATACTGCTGAGTTAATGGCTGAGTTAAACAGAATAAAGAAAGAAAGGGCTCAAGAAGAAGCTAAAAAGGTGAGATTGGATAACTTAATTGTCTTTCTTGTGTTTAACTTTTCCCATACAACTGGGTCATAGTGCTCATTTAACAACCTAATACAGAGATTCATTCAAAATTTATTTAAACTTTTTTATCACTGATTTGCAGTAAACTTAGCATCAAAACATAGTTTATAATTCTGATTTTTATATTATCTAAATTTCAATTTCTTAATTTCAAAAGGAAGTATGTAAGAAAAACTTCTCAAGTTCACCTCTCTGTGCTGTGTGATGTGTTTGCATTCTGAATTCTTCATTATATGGCTTTCAGAATGTCCAAACAATTAGAAACAAAATATACAAGTACAGATCTAAAATTTTAGCCTCTTATCTCCTTGATTTGCTGAGATATCAATAAAGTTGTCAAGCCCATCAGAGAAGCCAATCCCTTTTTTGTATCTCTTTTTATACTCTGCTAGTTGTCCTTACAAGGTTGAAGGACATGTTTATAACTAATAGAAAGAGTATTTTCTCCTATATATAGAAATATTAGAGAATCATCATTTAGATTTTTTACATAAATCATTGGTCATCAGAAGAATTTTGTATCAGTTATCGTAGTTCTTTGCTCTGAGACCTTACAGATTGTTTTAACCTATTTATAGTTACTTAGAATTCCAGATAAATTATAGTGCTTTTGGGTATTCTATTCCATATTCCAGTGCCTGATACATTTTTTAGTTCTAATATGCATATTTAAAGGTGGCATGGGTTTTTATATGAACATCTAACTCATTGAAAGAAAAAGTGAGGCCTAGCATAGTTATAACTTATATTCACAAAGATCACATGGGTCATGTAAATTGTTTGTGACTAATGGGCTTTAGTTATGATTTATTATTTTCGATGGAGGATAGTAGCCCAAAGTACAAAGAATAAAACTATAATGAAAGAAAATGGATCTGGGAAAGTTAAGTTGAAATTGTGAATATAAAAAATTTGAAAATCTCATGAAATGATTCAAACAAAAAAACACCATACATTGATGATTTATTTACAGTTAGTGTTAGGGTACAGAATTATATCTTATTTTCATGTTTATAGCTCAAATACAAAGTTGTTCTAGAGATTATGTAAGTGAAATATAAAAACCATACAGTGAAAATAAGTATCTTTATTCTTAGCATGAAAATCACCTTTCACTAAACTGACTCGGTAAAGGTTTCATAAATTCACGAAAAAAATATATCTTTAGTCAATATACTTTATTAAAAAATCTGTTGTTTTTTTAATACAATAGACGCGTTTACTAAAAGCTTGCCAAATTTTGTGAAGATACAGAGATATAGTATGTATAGTTTCACACTGCCAATGTGAGTAGAATTAACTCACTTCTTATGAGAAAAAAGTTAAAATGTGTCTTCAGTTATTTGTATCTTCACACTTGTCTTCGGAATTAATATGATTTTCAAAAGAATTATTTTACTTCTGTTATAAGGTTATTTCAATTTGTACAAGTTACAATACCATAAGGATATCCATTCTCCTGAGGATAAGTAATGGGATTATTGAATTATCTGCCATCTTAAAAATACTGAGATTGTCAAGTGTAAAAGACTGTACCTTTAACTTGATAAATAAAAGTGTATATTATGGCCAAGGTTTTCATGATGGTCTTTTGTACTATATTTTCTCTCATAAATAGTTGCCAATATTTCTCTCCAAAATTTAATACTATATTCACTAAATTAATTTTCTTGTAATTTGTCCTTTCTTCTTTTTAATCCAATTCAATGAAATTTAGGTCTAGCAATATGTCATTAGATTATTAACCCTTTCACATCGGGTAAGTCAAAGTGCTCATGTCACCACCTTTTAGAGTTACATTCAAATTGTAAACCACTTAATTATCAGTGTATATGAATAATATTGGCATCAAAACATAGCTAATGAATCAAGTTATAATATTTTATGTGTTAAGTTCTTAATTTTATAATGAAATGTAAAAAAAAAATCCTCAATGAAAATTGTGACATTTGCTCTCTAGGTCTTCCCTCTTCTCTAGTTTATTTACCACCCCTCTGAGAAGTATAGAACTAAAATACATTACTGATATTGTTATTACTTAGGCAAAGCATAAATTTTATTGCCTTGAATCTCATTTGATTACAGAGCCATAAACTAGAAAATCAGACCCCTTTTGCCATATCCTCTCCTTCAAAAATTGCCAATAGTTTTCTCTGACATTTAATACTATATTATTTATAACCAATAGAAAGCCAAAGTTTTAATCTATCAAATGAGATATTATATAGCATTATGTTCTATATAGAGAATTGTCTATTTTGCTACCAGTTCAAATTTTATTACCATGGGAAACACCAATGAGCATAGCTAGAAAGCCAGAAAAATTATGATAGTTATAGAACATTGTTTGCTTTATACATGTTATTTTTGTGTTTTTTGCTGGTTCAAGGTTGGTTGAATTTACTGATTCCATTTTGAGATAGGGTAGAGAAAATAACAGATCAACTATAAAATTCTACTGAAAAAACCGTTTGAAATGCATTTAGGAGGTTTTAGGGATTATAGAAAGTAAATTTGAGATTTTTGAGATGAGGAAAAATATTTTTAATTTTAACATGAAAAATACTTTGCACACGGACTATTCAAAACAAATACTCGATATATTCATGGACAAATCTTTATTTTATTAAAAATACTTCACTTAAAATATAATTTTTTGTATGTGAAAACTTATAATATTAACTGAAAGACTGCCAAATTTTATGAAGATATACACACTATATTGAAAGTCAGAAGTATTAAATCTATAAATTTTAAATGAGTACAAAGAGGTTACGTGGTTGGTCAAATTGACTGAGCCAATGTTGAGAGAGTTAAGTTATTTAGGATAAATCGTAGTTTCCTGTTACAATTTTTAATCATTCCAGAAAAAAAAAAGGGTAATTTTGAATTATTTCCTTATTTTTTTATGACAGTTATGAAGTAAGTCAAATTGACCAACCCTATATAGAGTTATAATATATTAAAGAACAGATAAAATATAGTTTGTCTGAAAATAACATTTGATATTTATTTAGGAGGATTTAGGAATTACACAAATGAAATTTGAAAATTTTCGATGCAGAAAAGTATTTTTAATCATAACATGAAAATCACTTTTCACTCAGAGTAGTTAACACTCTTGACACCATATAATACCAAAGTTTTAGTAAAAATGCTAATTAAAAATTTTGTTTATTGTCTGCAAAGGACTTATTGTTTACTGAAAGCTTGCCAAATTTTGTGAAGATACATTAATTACTTTCAGAGTCTCAGTATGTATACCACCATGGTCACAAGGTGTGTGAAAGACATGAGCCCATTGTGATAGGGTTAAGCGTTATTTTTGAGCCATATATACTAAGTAATTTTTTACATTGGTAATAGTTGTATGTTCCTTAATGGCATAGCTGTTAGCTTCAGAGTATGAGGTATATAATGCTAAAATACAGAGTTAATTTTCCCACCATAGATAGTGCAGGTAGCCCACCATGTAGGGTTTTATTTAACAACAAAAGAAGAACTTTATTTACACACATGCATATATATATATATATATACATACAGGGTGAGGCAAAAGTCACTGTACATTTGTACATAGTTAAATAACTTTATTCTTGAAGAGAAGTTTCAATATTCGATTTTGTCTTTGTTTTATTTGTTCTCTTTTCTTAATTGTTATTAGTTTTTATATAGATTTAGATACCCATAATTATGGCAAGAAAGATGAGACTGTTTGTTTGAAAGATAGATGTTAGATGTATTAATGTTAATGGTAGACTTAAGATGAAGAACAACATAACAGTGTGTTCAGTTCATGTTTGTAGTTAACAGAAATTGCTTGTTTTATGTTATTATGTTTCAGTTTTCTTTGTATTAATAAAAGTGTGCAACTGTATAGTAACTTTTCCCTCACCCTGTATAAAGAGCGAGAGCAAACATTTTTTTTTCATAATTACAATTATCACTAAATAATATGCAAATAAAAAGCATTGAGAAATGTAATATTATATTTAACTTTATGCTACTATAGTATTGATGTGTAATATAGCTCATAGCCAAAATTGTCCTCTGTAGTTAGCATGGAAATTGCTGGAGCTCTTAAGTGTTGACTGTTTGCTTCATAAATGATTTATAAAATTGAGTCACTTCTCTACTGTCACTGTTATGTTTGAAAATATTTTTCTTTTATACTGTTGTATTTGCAATAGTAGAAAAAGAGGGGAAAGCTATGAATTCAAACTTTTTAACTAAAATATAACTTGCAGTTACTTGCAACAAAATCCCCATATAAATATTTAAGTAAATGTTCAACCATATTGTCATAGTTTTAAAATTATCAATTATAAATACTGATCTATTTTAAAACATATTAATATTCTTTAGGAAGCAGAGAGGAAAGTTCAAGAAGAAAAGATTCGAATGGAGAACATTCTCAGTGGAAATCCTCTGCTCAATTCTAAGGCTGACTTTAAGGTTAAGCATCGCTGGGATGATGATGTAGTTTTTAAGAACTGTGCCAAAGGGGATCTGGACAGGAAAGAGAAACCTTTCATTAATGATGCTATTCGTTCAGAATTCCATAAGAAGTTCATGGAAAAATATGTAAAATAAGTGGAAAGATAATCTGTGAATATATATACACTCAATATGATAAACTATACAGTTCAGTTCTAAATATGTTAAAGTATGTCATCATTTCAAAATCAATGTCAGTGTTTACTTTTATGTTTTGTGATGTCAATAAATACTTCTGATATTTGTTTTGTAATATACGAGTAATATTTTCCTCAAGTATACATTCTTAAGATCTTAAGTAGAAAAAGTTGATATTAATTATAAACAGTGAATTTAACAGTAAAAAAATATCAAGAATTTACATGACATATATGGTCGTTATATTACCTACATTGAACTGTCTTGGTAAGGTAAGCTCACTAGAAAGCAGCATTAATTGACAAAAGGCTATTTTATCTTTTATGAAGTTAGCAAACATCTGGACACAACTCCACGTGCATCTTGAAAGCATAAAGTTATCAGTAAATTGTATAATTTGAAAGTGTAAAAGCAATGTGGTATAGGCAATATTGCTATTTATGAGTTCTACACAAGTGCAAAATGGGCACACTGAAGTACACTAATTTTGCCTTTAACAAGGCAATTTAAAAAAAAATCCTCAATTTCTCCTAGTACGAGAATTGTGACATTTGCTCACTAGTCATTCTCTCTCCTCTAGTTTATTTAGCACCCTTGCAAGAAGTATGGAAGTTAATGTAAATTACTCATAATAATATTGTTATTACTCAGGCAAAGCACAATTTTTACAGCCTCAAAAAGTGTTTGGTTACAGAGCTATAAACTAGAAAATCAGACTCTTCTAGTCATGCCCACCCGTCATATCCTCTCTCTAGAATAGTTCTGTCTGACATTTAATACTATATTATTTATAACCAATAGAAAGTCAAAGTTTTAATCCTTCAAATGAGTATCATATTTCATTGTCTATTTCACTTCTAGTTCAAACTTTACTCTCATGGGAAACATCAATGAGCTTAGCTGAATTTTTAATGGCTCTTATTGCATAGTTAAATAGCTAGAAAAATTATGATAATTATAGGAAATTGTCTGCTTTTTATACATTATTATTCTGTGTTCTTAGGTGCATTATTTAATTAAAATAAAATATAATGTAGAGCAGTAGCACCATTAGTATAAAAAAGTAGGGTTAATTTCATCAACAGCAAAAAACAGAAGACCCAGGTATTTACTATATTTCTTGTTTTTCAAGTGTATTATTTATTTATTATTGTAAAAGCAACTAGATTGCAAAAATTGGAAACCTCTAAAGTTAGATTAGGCAAAATAAAAAATTAATAATAATAAATTTTCATGAGGTATGCTTCCAAGTAGCCGTGCTTTATGTAATTCGATAGGGTAATGTGAGCTGGACATTCACAAAGTGATTTACAACTTTTATGGTGGGATTATTATTTAGACAAGGTTCATAGGGCAATAAAATTTAAGTATAAACAGATGTAGACTGTTACAACTTTTAAACTATTTAGGATAAACAATTGTATTTTCATGTTACAATTTGAAGTCATTCTAGAAAGAAAAAAGGGTAATTTAGATTTATTTCTTATTTTTTCTGATGGTTATGAGGTTGGTGAAATTGACCAACCCTGTTATAGGGTTAAGGTAGAGAAAACAGATAAAATATAAAGTTTTACTTTAAAAAAAATTATATTTAGGATGATTTAGAGATTATGCTAATGAAATTTAATAGTTTTCAGATGAAGAAAAGTATTTTTAATCTTAACATGAAAATTGCTTTGCACTCAGAACAGTCAACACTGACTCCATATAGTCATGGAGAAATTTTTAGTGAAAGTACTTCATTAAAAGGCTTGCCAAAGTTTTTGATGATACACAAAACATATTAGAAGTTATAGTATTGAAATTATAAAAGTCAATTTTGGATCACAATCTTGGCTGATTCAACCAAGCCCATTGTGAGAGTGTTAAGGACCAACACATTTGTAGGCTTGCCCTAAGATTAGTTTATTTGTCACACCTGCTTGACTTTCTGGACAAATCATGAAAATCTTTACAGACTTGGTCACTGATATCCTTTAATTCTTTTTTTTTTTTCTCACAGTGGAAGAGACTTACTTAGTCGTAATATCTAGTTTTGGCTTAAAATATTTGTATAATTTGATCTAGTTTTTCTAGAAATTTTTATAAAATGTCCAAACTTTTGTTGTTAGACACTTTAAAAAAAAACATTTAAAATACTCCCTTTTGTCTTAGAATTTAAATTATTTTTCCCAGACTGTATCAACTTCATTCCTTTTTATTGACATATTTCTTTTGAAACTGTCGCTTCTGGTTGTAAGTCATAAAAAAAAAACTGCACTAACTTACAAATATTGATTAGTGACCAAAGATCTGACTGTTTAAAATGGTGTCAGGATTGGCTGAGTAACATTATTTTTGCTAACGGTATTCTTGGTCAAAATCAATGTATATATAATACATGTTGTATTCAGTAAATTATAAGTTCTTTTATTTATTTGCGTTGTTTGAATAGGATAAACTTGATAATATTGAATAAATAAGGATTTGAGCCATTAGGATATTTTGCTGTCACTGCAATACCACAGAAGAAAATTGCTATAACTTTTAAACAAATAATTTAATACAAAATCTCTTCAGGAACAAAAAGAAACTATAAACAATTTCTTTTAAATTTACTGAAACATAAATGTATTCACTGTACCACGATGTAACTAGTTTGTAATCTGATCTAGCGAGTGGTATTTAAACGTCTGTAGCATTTTTGAAGGTTTGGTTTCATTAGTAGTTGTTCAGTCACCTGCTGTGAGGTCATAAAATGGTAGGAACTGAAAGGATGTACTAATACAATGCAGAGGAAGAGAAAATCAAGTGAGAAATAAAGCCTTCAGGATAATATTTACAAGGGATGTTAGTTTCCTAGGAAATATAAAACCTATGTTTTGGAATAGGCAGATCTCTGAACTGTAGAGTAATATAAGTTTGAACATTTTTCTCCATTTTCTTTGCAATTACATTAAATAAATAATACAAAATATTGGTCCTAAAATATTCTTAGATAAAAAAAATTATTGTTGAAATCAAGTTACAAATACTGTTTTTACTTCAATTTTGAAATTTGATATGCAGGTGTGCACTCAATACCTGAAAATACTCACTGGTTCAGAAAAGGTTAAGTTAGTTATAGTTTCTAGTGAGTTGGTTACATGTGAAGATGAAGTCAAACTCTGGCTTCTCTTTCCTGCTAATGGAATTAATCTGATGACATGGAATTTTAGAAAGTTCTTATGCAGCTGAAATTTGTAATAAAATTCTAAGTGAAGTTGTTTCAAGCCTTGGTATACTAAAAGCTGACCTAGACAGATAATTTCATGTATTTTATTTTATGCACTGGTATTTATTTTATGTATTTTATGCACTGGTTTTACAATAAGTACTTTATGTGGGAAAATTTTCTGTTCAGTCTCTTTCATTTCACATACTGCATACAAATTGAATTTTTTGTGTGAAAACATTAGATTAGCTGAGAATACAACAGACTAAGTTATTAACACATGGTCTCTCTATCAACCAGAGTTATTTTGGTGGCAAGGATTGGATGTAAAAAATCCAGGATTTATCTGACTTTTATAAAATTTATGAAAGATTGAGCGTATGGTGAGATATGACAATTACTGTTTCAAAATTGGGTAAAAATTGATTGAGTTATGAGTGGCCACATCATCAGCAAAAACACCTCCAAGAAGTGATTACTGGAATCTCTTCTTCCTTGTCCTGCCACCCAAAAACACTACTTTGCCTCTGGTTGAGGGGAGGTCCTGTTCAAAGTAAAAATTTGGTGTTAAGACCAGTGATTATTTTTTTGCAAAGTTTAAGCTAAGAAGGAATTGGAAATGTCCTTCAGGATGGCATCAGCCAGTTGAAAGTACTTCACCATCAGTGGATGTCAAAAAAAAAGTTTGAAACAACTAAAGCCAGCAAAATTTTGTGAATTTTCTCAGTCACATTTTTGGCACAGTGTGTTAATTTATCTTACAAAGTTCTTTATCGGTAAGAGCTGACCCCAACCTATGAGTGAAAAGGAATTTACACATTTGTAGGCTTTGTGTTATTGATATTTAGTGACCAACATCCTCAAGGAAGCCACATAGTTGTCTGCTTTGACTGGAGTATTTCAGGTGTATTAAAGATTGGGACTAAAAATTTCAGTCACTAAAATGTGCTTTGGTTGAAATTCAAGTGTTGGATTATCCCAGGTAAATTTATCCACTCATTTCTGGATAGAGCTGTCCGTAATGAGATCAATGGTATTATCATAAGTGCAAGAAGGTGTAATTGCCATAGTCAGTCACACATTGACAGTTTCTGAATGCCAATACTGAGCAACTGTGAACAGCTTACAGTTGTAGTATTTGCCAAACACTACAGCTATTACTTGTACGATAAGAAGTTACAGTATGAATGAACCATGCATCAAAGAAATGGCTACTGAATCCAGAAAGCATGGTTGTACATTGCATTACATGAGTATCACATCATATAGCACTGTTCAAAGCAGTAGTGTGTGCAGATTCATTGTCATTCCAAATAGTGAATTTGTCTATTTGCTGAATGTTTAAATATTGGTAATACTGATGATAACTCATATAAATAATGATGTAATTGATGTACTTTAGTTAAAACAAACCATAATTTTTGGGAGGAGTAACTTAGGACCTAGATATAGTTTAAGCAGTGCTTGCTTTTGCAGAAAAGTGAAATGCACTTTAAGGATCAGTTAAAACATAATGGACTAACCAAATCTCTGGCAGTTATACAAGTTGCAGAAAGTGTAAGATGATGTGTGGTACTGTTATTATATGTTATTTACACATAATGCCATACCTTTGGGTATGAAGGGTTTATATGGGTGTATGGTGAATGAATTGTGCTCTTAGACAAGCTGTGGTAAGTTGTAATGGAAAAAAAGTCTATTTTTATTGGATTTCACCTGTTTTCTCATCATGATGTTGGTACAGGAAAGTGCATCTCCTGGTGATATTTGGCTAAAGCAATGAATATACTTCACTGCTTCATTTTGTGCTTGACTTGCATTGTTGTGTGTGTTCTGTTGTGATCAAAATGAGTGTGATTCAGATGGTGTGAATAGCAGCTTGAAAGTCTTAGTTCTATTGGATTTTGACTACAAATATGTTCATGCAACACTGAGTTTAATGTTCACATTTGTGTGTTGTGTTACATACATAAAATATTCAGGAAATAGCTATTCAGATGTATCAGGTGAAACCACATTAAGGTAGAACTTGGTCTCTTTGATTATAAAGAAGAATATATTGTTTTTAAAACTGAAACATTTGTTACAGTGCACATTTTCTTCAATAAGATAAAAGTTAATGTTTCAGTCTACACAACATCAAAGAAAGTTTATGTAAAGCTACAAACAAGTTTCCATTACCAACAAAGGGATATTGGATTAATACTTAATCCCTTTCCTCTTCCCAATTCGAACTGGGTCTGTGTCATAGCAACCAGACAATGGTGTGAGATTTCATGCACATATCAGTAGGTAGCTTTGCTAGCTTGCAGGAGTGCTGGTGAGAGTTTGGAAATAATATACGGTGTTATTCCTTCTTGAAGCTTTAGTTGGGCCAACATATTCACATGTCTTAGGGAAGATGTTTCTTTTGCCAAATACCTTGCCTGGTTACTTATGAGCTGGCGTAATATGTAATATTTTCAGATGTAGGGTGTGATAATTTCACTTGACTTTCATCAAACTAGTTGACTGCAGAATAGCTAATGGAGAAGGATCTTCTCACACCCAGGCATTGACCATCTCTGGTAAAAAAAGGTCCAGTCAAGCTCTTTTCATAATCACTACCATTACTAAAAACTAAAGCCCAATTGTTGCAGAGGAGGAAGAAGCAAAATAATAATAGTAATTTTATGCAAAGAAACACCATCATAAAAATGACATTCAGACACATTTTCAGTGAGAACACAAAATCCCTTCCTAGAATGAAGCATTTCAAAATCTTCTCCCAGAAAAACTAACAAAAATTAGAGGAACAACATCTAATCTGATTACCCCATAACAAAATATGATGCCAAGCCACTGGGACTACCAACTTTTTTTCTTTTTCTGCAAAACTGTTCCAGGAGAACTAAGCATAAGGGACCAAGGAGAAGAAAAGAGGTCATGGATAAAGAAAGCATTGTAGGATGGTCCAGGAGATGTAGTTAAATGACAAACATTCTACAGTGAAGAGAGATTTTGCTGAAGTTTAAAATCAACTATAGAAAATATCAGCCTTAGAGTCCTATCCATTGGAAATGAAGGTGCCAGGGATAAACGATTTTGACCACTGTAAATATTTTGAATATTCTGGAAAAGCATATAAATCTTCTGAATGTTATATAAATATTTGACAAAAAAAAGGATAAATGAGTGGCAATTTAACCAAAGAAATAAAATATGAAGATCAATGATTATTTGTTATGTATCATCCTGGATATCTGTTTTGGCAGTTGGTGGTTTCAGGAATTTATAAGATTATAATTTATTTGAATTAGAGTTTGTAATTCAAATTAAAGATGAAATGAAGGGCTGCTAGGATAGACTAAAGTTGGAGGAAAAGAGATGTAATTTGTGTTCACCGAGTACTAATAAGTAATAATAAAGATTCCATAAATAACAGTATTTATTTAAGGGTAGTGTAGTTTTAAAGGGTATCATACAATTTTGCTTTATCTATATACACATTTTTATTAAATATGGTTTGTAAAAAATATAGAATTACTTATATAAATATTCTACACTTTACATAAATATATATATATATCTATATATAATTGTAAATAAGTAAGAAAAATATTTTTTAATGACCGTATTACTTTAGATTTTGAAGATTATTCTAAACTCTAAAAGAAACAAAATACATGATTGTATGGTTGCTTTTGTTGATTTTAGTGCTATAATTTGGTTTTAAAACTAAATCCAGCCACCAAGCCTGATTTTGCTAGGTAGGTAGACTTCAGTAAGAAAGCTTGGTGAAATCATTGAGAGACTTTGAATTTCTGCTTTTTTCTTCATTCTGTGGATTGTTTCCACCTAACAGTAAAACAAAATAATAATAGTGAATACACATACCTGTATAATACACAGTAAGCAATTCAGAATCAAATTAATATACAAATATTAGAACTTGAGATAAACTTGCACATGCATACTAAAGTTTCTGTCATAAACGTTTTAATTTCAAACAGTAAGTGAATTGTAAAAACTCGTACCTTTCTGTTTAAAATAGCATTTGTTCCTTAGTAACATGTTTATTTATTGATATGCATTTTGATCATACTCTTATATATACCGAAAATTATAAATCCCCTTTCCCAAATTTAAAACACAAACATTCTCACTAATTCTTAGAAGTTTATCATCTGTTCAAGTAGTTTCAGCTAACCAAAAACATCAAAAATGTGTATAGGTACTAAAAGCTAAATACCAGGTGATTCAGAAGTCCGTTGCATCATATACCAAATATTTCAATTATAAAGGTATAGTCAATTACAAATAAACTATTTAAGACCAAAATTTACCCCACAAAAGCAGTTATAGGCATAAATGCAGATGATTTATACATTCAAACAGTATTATGAAATGGTCACAAACAATCAATAACTGTGTTCAAAGTGCTGCCCAAACGTCAATATGATTACTTCACTGTCAATACTGGTTGTTATTCTTGGTATCTATGTGTAAATGGGCCTCTTCTATGCAGCTGCTAGCACACATTTCCTTTCTTATCATCTCATGTGGAGGATGACATTAATCTGGAAACCATTTGGCATACAATCTAGCAGCAGCTAGACCTTCTAGTGACACTGTCCATACAGTAAAACCATGTTAAACTGTTCTTCAACTGAATACTGTGCCATTATTACATTTGCCCTGTGAAGGTATTGCAATCATGTCCATGTGTGTGTGAATGTGGCTGTTTCTTGAAACTAATAGACCGATCTACATGAAAATTTTACACAAGATAAGAAGTCAGTATTGGACAGTCATCCCCAAATTTTATGCAGGTGCAAATCCGAATTCTGGATCCCTTTGAATATTTTTTTATAATGGGGAGATGGGGCATTTTCTCAGTTTTCAGTTAATAACTCTGTAAACTGTAATCAGAGTTATACCAAGTATCATGGGCACATTAAGGTTGAGACTCCCAATCACACTACAAAAAATGATCTGGATCTGAGAAGGATTTTCTGACTTTTCGAAGGGGAAATATTAAGTTATCCAATATAAATGCATGCAATCTCAAAAAGGAGGGAGAGGGTATGCAATCTCTCTGATTGCTTTTGTTTTGATGATATAGAAGCAGCTGCAGCACAATACTTGTGTGTTACCTTATATAGGGAGCTTTATTTTAATACGTTTTGGACCATTCAAAGGTGCAAAGGACCTGCTTATGCAAAATTCTGTCCCTGCACCTCAAACCTAGATTTATGTAACAACTTTTGCTATGGTTTAATTTCAATCTTTTAATTAAACAGCTATATGCATGGAAGGGATACAATTTATGCTTGTAACTATTGTTCTTTAGGAATGAATTTAGTAATTTTTGGTATAAAATATTTCATTTGTTATTGTCTGTACTTTTGCCATTAACATTCTACATGTGTGATGCATATTAATAAAATTTCTGAAAGGCATGACTTAGAAAGATCTCAATCACACTGTCACAGGGTATGCCCACAATACCTCATTCCATACCATTAACAATTATATTCTTATATCTCACCATATCTCAATTATTTGGCTGTTAATAGACTTCTGAATCATCCTGTATAATACTGCATTTCTTATAATGTTAATAGTATGTTTTCATAAATACATAATGGTAAGCCATCTGTACACATACTTGGAAGATGGTAGTTTTGAGGGAGAAATTTCAACTACACTATAGATTATAATGAATAAGTTTACAATATATTATGCATCATTTTCAGATGTTATTTCTAATTTTTTTAACCCAAAAAGTAAATTTGCTCAAATATTTCAACATTTTTTAAGTTCTGATATTTTATGTATTATGTCTGCTATGTGACTTTTCTACACTATGAAACAAATGTGAAGTTTTCACTTAAAAAAACACTTTGATATAAAATGGGCTTACAATGCATTGGTATCTTGCATCCAGTTTTTTTTATTGGACCTAGTTTTTGACCCATTATCACCCATGCTAAATAGGAGGACACTTCAAGATTGCTCAGTAATGCCCAGTAGCTTACACACATTTTTTAAGGTTTTAAAATAGTGGTTTTTCAAAGTAATAAAAGATACTGCTGGATATCACTTTCAATTTGTTATTACTTTTGATATTTTATGTTGTTTAAAACTGTGTGTTTTACAAATAGTGCTTACTGTAGGTAAATCTAACATTTTGCACTGATATGCCATTTAGTTTATCTCCATTCCCATCAAGGTATAACAAACAATTTGCAATTTTAACTACACTGATGTACTCATACGTTTTTAATGTTACATCAGGCAAACTAGAAACTGAAAATGTTCAATCAGAATAACAGAAAGAATACTCGTATCAATAAATAAGGAAATTATAGTCATATTTGAAGTCACATGTGACTCACTTAAGCTATCATAGGTGAAGGCTAGAAATAAAGACTTAGGTGACATATTTAATAAACTTTTGTCCCTAGAATGTTTTTATAAAAATGTTTGCTAAAAGCCTAAGATTTACCTGATTTTTCCATTCAGGATTGTGGGTCATATAAGGTCTCTGCATCATATCAGCAATTTTAGATAGATCTAGCTTACTCAATGGTTGTAGTGCATCATCAGGTATCTTTAACCTGGAGATTTAAATATAACTGAAACCTTAAATTATAACAAAATGAAATTAAGAATATAAAGTTAAATAAGAAATAAACACCTCAAAATACTGTTCACTCTCCAAATGTGCATTTCAAAATGTAAAATACACAATTATAACATATCAACAATTGTCACAATATTTGATATCCTTAACACAGATTTCAAATTATGGATGTTGTTGACAGTTATATACATTTTAGATTAATTACATTTAATAGTAGATTACTATTACAAAAACTCAGTAGTTATTCATTTTGATTGTAGACCAGAATTAGCTAACAAGTCCAACTGAGAAATAAAATCTATTCAGTAATTACCATTTTAACTATTAATGTTTTGTATAAAAGGCAATTTTTCATTTGTTTCAAAAAGCATTTTTGCTATGTTTGTTACATGTTTTCTGTAACAACATATATTTTTTACTTTGATATTTCTGCCTCATTTGCCTTTTTCTGTGACATGCACAGTAATAAAGCTCTAGTATATCTGACATAGTCATGGTAGAAAAACAAACAGTCATGTTTGTGTAAATATAATTGCTACCAGTTAATACAGTAGAATCTTGACATTAAGGGCACCCTTCTGACTGCATCCAAATGCCCTCTATGACAAGGTGCCCTTAATATCAAAAATGAGCCAAACAAAGCTGGATTCCATATTGACTGTACTAAGTTTCTGAATTTTTAGGCCCCCCCATTTTGTTTGGTGTATGTAGGACACAGGAGTTCGTGAGTTGCACATTGCTATGATATGGAGCACTGTCAACAGGACATCTCAGGGGGTGGATTAGCTGTGCCCTTTTTTTTCTTTATTATTGGTCACAAAGTTTCAGAGTACTTCTCTTCAGAGTTTGAACTGCTAAACGTTTCACATTTATTTTCTGTGTTTATTTTATTGTCAACGACTGAAGTAGAAATCCACTGAAAATAGAGCAACAAATCACCACTTGTGTCATTAGACTGTTTACGTGACACCATAATATGATATAATATGAGAGCAACAAAACACGCACACCCCTGCTCTAAAAACACAATGTGGAATTTATCAGCTTATGTATTCTACAGCATTTAAAATGAGAATTTTCCACAGTAATAACATTGCACTTTGATTCTATGAAAATGTTTATTACAGTATATGGTTTGGAACCAATCCACTAAACATCACAAGTGTTTGAACATTGGTCATCCTTCTGAGATGTTTAGAAGTTAGTGATATAGTGTACAGGCATACAAAGATAACTGTCCACTTTATCAAGTGCCCATATAGAGTACGAGACATTGCCTTTAATCCAGAATATTGAGGTGCCCATTATTGCAAGATATATTTTGGTTACAAATAGCAGAAAAAAAAGAAAGACTAAAAAGGTCTGCCCTTAATGGTGTGGTGCCTGTTAATCAAGGTTCTACTGTACTATGTACTATTCTTGTTAGGGAGAAGCTTAAATGTTAAAATTTCCCATACAATGTGATGAGACTTTTGTGTGTGTGAATATTCCAAAACAAGTGATTTAAGCCCAGATATTCTGCTCTTTAGTTAATTTTAATTAAAAACTTATTTTTTCAAATTTCAACTGTTCCAAAATGAATAAACAAAACTTGTGCTAATATATGTGCTTTGTAAAGACACAAAAGTTGTTTGAATAATATATTAGTTTCAAAATTAATAAGATACTAATGAGAAATACTAAATGCATAAAAACTTGTACTGAGTTACAAGTATACAAGATTGTTGTGATTTTTCCAACCCTCCTAAAAAAATGTGAGAGAAAAACCCACAAAACATTAATTTATGGATTCCTTCCAAAAAATACAACAGTTGAAAGCATTTGGCTTGAACCCACATTATCTTGATTTCAAGCAATCACACAATCATTAGCAAGAATCACAACACCGACTTAAAAACTCTTACTAAGTACAATTTATTAAAACATATGAAAACATGATGATTGGAAACAGCATCAAATTTTACCCTTTCATATATAGTAAAGAACACATCTTTATTTAGTTATATTCTGGCATATTTTGCTAAATTTTCATACAGGTGTTTTGGATACATTTGCAACATTCTTGCAAACCAGATGTGCAAAAGGTTGTCCTCTAGTTATGTACTACGATGATTGTTTAACAGGGCTTATACTTGTTTGGCTTCATTTCTGTGTAATGCCTTCTTGAAGTGAAGTCATACTCATTTTGAGAGATGGTACAGGCACTTGTGTAGTATGAATTGAAGATGTATTTCCCTTGGATATGTATAATGGGCAGGATTTTCAGCACAGATAATGCAGGACCTTGGGACACTGCACTAATATTTTGATCTGACTTGAATCGTCATTATTCTAATTCCTGTCTTTTGTCTCGTGTAGTCATTTATATTCCTGCTCTAGCAACCAGAGAAGCCTATATAATAAACACTGAAGCTTGCCAATACTGGTTAATAATCCAGTATTTATTTACTTTTTAATAGAGATGTTTTTTTAATTAAAGAAAGAACTTGTGATATGGAAATTATAATTTTATTTATGGATAAAACAAATAATTATATATTTAAATACTAATCTTATATTTTTAAAAAACACAATGTTTTACTAGATTAACCTAGCATTGTTGGGTGGATGCATTTGAATAATGGAACAAAGATTTGTTATGTGTTCAGTATCAACAGTGATAATACCTCACTAGGCAGCAAAATAAAAGAAAGTCAAACACAATTGTTAAATAGGGAAAAATAAATGTAACTTTATATTTGAATACTGATTAATGCTAGGTTTTTGTTTTTTAATAAAGAGAACTTTAATTTTGTATATTATTTTTTTTGTGAATGATTTTAACACCTACAAATTGAAATTGGGCTTCATAACACTTTTTTTTGTAAAGCTACAAATTTCAGTTTATATTTATTGGATTTCTTCTCGTGACTCTACACAAAAAGACTCCCTTTTTTTGTACAACTAAAAATACTTGCTTTTCTCAACAGGTTATTTTTCAACAGAGATAAATTTTTAGAATCACATCTTTATTCACAAAACAAATATCTCACAGTTATAAATAAAACATAATCATCCCTAGAAAATGAACCACGACATGCAGATACAACCAATGATTTAGAAAAATCATCTCTTTTTATTATGTTATTCCAGATATATTCTTAGGCTTTCAAATACCATACAAAAGATTTGGTTAAAAACAACTAAAGAATACAAGATAGATTTAGATGTGAAATATTCTTTCCAACCAGCAAGAAACTGTCAAATTGTATTGCACAAATTTATTGACAATGACACATCAGGATTTTTGCATCAAATTACAAATTAAGAGTGTAGTAATTCTTATATCGGAGAAACCTGTCAACAAGTGTCTACAAGATTAAAAATGACATTTAAAAACCCCTTCCTTTGTGTTTGAGCACATAGTTAAAAATTTACAATTTATGTTTTTGATGTTAAGATTGTTAACAGAGAAAATATTAGGTAGTCAGAAAATTAATGTCACTTTTTTTAGATGAAAAACCCCAAACATCAAAACAAAACATTTATTAAATGAAATAGTCTCCATTTTTATCAATGATGCTTTTCCATCATAAAATCAGGTTATTAATGCCCTGATTAAAGAAATCACTTGGTTTGAAG